CCCCGGAGGCCGCCGCCAGCCGCCAGGTGAGCTCGCCCCGGCGCCGCCAGTGCGGCGGGGGCTGCGGGCCGCCCGGGGTCCGGGTCCCTGCGCCTTCCCGGGGAAGGGGACCGCGACCCCCGCCGCCCTGCCTGCTGCTGCTGCTGCTGCGGGTGGGCTCGCCCCCCCGGGCGTGGGGAGGGCGGCGTGGGCGCCTGGTTCCTGCCGAGCCCGGGGGACGTGGGACGAGGGGCGCCGATGGGGCGCGGCGCGAGGGTCCACACGAAGTTAGCGCCCACGCGCGCCGGGGCGGGTCTTGAACGCCGGCACTTGCTCCGGGCGCGGCCAGCGATCAAAAAAGGCCCGGGGTTTCTGGTGGCATGGTGCCGGCCCGGCGGCCGCCCCCTTCCCTCCGGGGCACTAGCGGGAGCTGGGAAAGGGGGAGAGGGAAACTTGGCGACCTCCGGGAGCCGTCCGCGGAGCGGCGGGGAGCGCTGTGCCCGCCGCGCTCACCCGGCGCCGGAATCCCGTCGCTGATCAGGATGGGGTGCTTTTACTTATTTTTCTCTTTGATTTTCAAAAAAATGTCTATGTGACTGTCCCCATCTTAAGGGGAAGTTGAAAGTGAAGGGGGAGGGCGTGTTTAATGAGAAACGTTGCCTAGTCTGTAAAGTTACACATTTCCGGAGCACACTGCAGATTATATGGCATCTCTTCCCAAAAGGCACTTTGATACAACTTCGATGAGTTGCTCACAAATGGCAACCTTTAGGTGTTGAGAACTGAGAGGAAGCGAGCACCGATCCCGCTGCTGATTTGATCTCCAGCAGCGTGTCTGAGTTTTGAACCCAGGTTTGATATTTTATTGAGCATAGAGCCGTTTTCCAATTTTCCTATCCCGCAAGTAACCTACCTGCCTTTTCATCTCCGGAAGGAAGCGCTTAGTGGGATGGATCTAGTTGTTTCAGTTTCCTTACTAAAGCTGGGTTCGTTTTTCTGTAAGCTCTTTCAAAGAGGAAGAGTTGTAAATGCAAATATGTAACAACAGTGAAGTGTGTTTCATTTAACCTCTAGCTGGAAACCAGTGTGTGTAAAATATTATTAATATATATGAGGTCAGAACTTAAATTATGCCCCTTAACAGTGCTCTGAAGAATCAGCACCTTTGACTTTTGGCAGAGAGAGAGAGAGACAGAGAGACAGAGACAGACAGACAGACACACACACACACACACACTTTCAGTGAAGATTCTGAGGTGTAACTTTCCCTCCCCCACCCAGGGTGTGACACCTCCCCTGGCTTTGAAATAGTATTGGCCTAAACACTGGCTGCCAGTTTGCATCAGTCCCTGCTCATTTTCTTGGTTTTAGGAGAGAGGATACTCTAACCAAAAGAAGAATTACTTTAAATCTTAAGTTCTATAAATTGTAAATTGAATGTGTCAAGTGATTGTCTATCCCAAGGACATTTTAGTGGGGATCATGTTTAAAAGGTAATTGCCAGGAGGTGAAATGATGTTCTTTTTAAGTTATTTGTTGCTTGGTCTCATCATCTTAATACTGATTTTGAAACAGTATCTAGTGATTTAAAACAATCTTTAATGTTGTTTATAGATAAGTATCCCTGTCCCCTGTAACTGTTAAATTTTCATGAGACATTCTATCCGTTATTCTAAGTTCGTTTTGTAACTTACAACTTTGTTGGGCAGTGCTAGAAATGTTCTGAAGAAGATCAAGAGAGATTGGAAAGGCTTTAAAGTTGGAGATATACCTGAAAATAAACATTCCTGGAAGTTCTTGAGTCAGATGGTGGAAAACACATCAAAATTTGAGCCTTTATGAACTTTTAAAAATCTGCTTTGTCAGCCATGTAGATTGCAGTTGCACTGACACAGATCTGTGTGTTGAACATTTTAAAATTGTTTTAATGAACTTTTCTTCATATCATATATAGTGAAAGAACATTTTAGTAAATTTTAAACATTGTCCCTTTCTCATGTAATCAATTATATATTAACGTGTTCATGAATGTTAAAATAGGACTTAAACTCTAGGCCATACTGACATTTCTTTTCTAGGAAAAGCTCTGGGGAGAAAGAAGTAGCAGATTTTAAGCTATAACAAACTGATTTGGACTTTGAACTTATATATAACCTTAGATTTGGTGATTTACTCAAGTCATTAGATTCCTGGTTTCTTTGAGACTGTGAGAGTCTACTTAAGGAAGTTTGTTTGAATGTTTATTTCATTTTAGCTTTCTGAAACTATAAAGGATGATAAGAGAACTGGTTAAATGGTCTTTACCTTGATCTTATGAAATGATGTAGGTATTTCTATAATATCCTTTCAGAGCAATGGTCATCCTGGCGTCTTTGGACCTCTGGGCGGGAGTTAGGGGGCTTCAAGAGATTCCTGACCCCCTTACAGTTGTGACAAAAACTTTGTATATGTGTGTTTTTCTGGGGAGAGAGCCTATAGTTTTAAAAGAGGTCCAGGGCCCAAAAAAAGTTAGAGATGTTTTTATTAAATGGGAGTTAGAATAATTTTTAAGAGAAACAAGTAGGAAAAAGTAGACCTTGGTGTTCAATACTTGGCCTTTTAAAGTTTTCTTCAGCCTAGTCATGTGGTCTTAGAGGTGCAAAAGCATTTCCATTTTGTTCCCACAGCAAAGCATCGCCTGTTCATTGATAAACCATGCACACACATAAAGGGCTTGACATGCTGTCCTGAGTGCATTGTGGCTGTTTTTAAATGATATTTAAAAATTTGGAACAGATAGATTTGTGGTCCATAGCAGAGAGTTGAGCCTGACAACCAGCCCTTGCAACAAATGGTTCATTCAGCTACACTCTCTTATTACTCTCCAGCAAATCTGAAATCTGACTGGGAAGTAGTCACTCTAAGAAATGGATTTGTGCTATGGCAAGACAGCAGGGTGTGATGGGAAAAACACAGTTTCTGAGTCAAAACAGCTTACTTATGTTCAAATCTGTATTCCATCACTGTAGCTACTTAACTTGCCTGACGCTTAAGTTCCTCATCTGGATAAAGCTTAGTAGAGATGTTAGAAAGCTGGCATGAAGTTCCCTGTATAAAACTCAGAGCCCCTTATTTGTCCCCCAGGAAGGACTTGGAAGCTAGATGTGGGTAACCATTAATAAACATCTCAGTGAACATGTATAAATAAACATGGTATATGATACTGATGTACATTGTTTTCAAACAAGTATGATGAAAATATTGACAAATTGAAACTTTAAATAAAAGAAGTCAAGTTTTAAAAAATTAGTTAAGATTCACTGGTCCTTATATTGTAGACATTTGGGGAAAAGTTGATGGAAAATGGTGAAGCCGTTGGCAAATTGAAAACATGGATGCTGGGCAGAAAGAAACAATAGGCACCCACCAGCATCATAGGTCTCTGTTTGGGTAAGATTCCATTTAACTTTTGCTGTTCACTTGTGATTTAAATGAAAAATCTTAGGAACTGCATGTGTGCTTTGTAGTCCTTCACCTCTAAAAATGTTTGCTCACCCCCTCCTTTATGGGACCCTCACAGGTACCCCAGGGATTTCATTAGTGGAAGTTAAACCTATAACTTTGGCTGTCTGATTCTTATATCTTTAAAAGAGTTCCACAGGTGGGTACCCGCATCAGGTTTTCTCAACAGGGAAGAGAGAGTATGGAAGAACTGAATTGTATTTTCCGTTCTTTAAACGTTGAGGGAAGAGAGGGTATTACAAATAAAAGAAGAACGATATGAATAAAATATTTATAAGGCTCGTGCCATAAAAATAAACTTGCTTCCACTGTTTCTGTGGTCTTTCCCTTTTCCTCTCATTTATTTATGGTGAACATTCGTGCTTTCTGCTTTCAAGTAGGTAGTGGTTATGAACATAAGCTTTAGGTTCCTGGATTTGACTTCCATTTCCTGAGCTTTCTGGTTGTGTTCAACTTGAGCCAGTCATCCTCTGAGTCTGGAAGAGATGACCGTTAAATAAGATAATAAAAACAAAAGGCTATGCTCGGTCCCAGGTTCCTAGTAAATACTCAAAGGCGGTAGCCATTTTGTGGGTGGTGTCCATCTCCTCTTTAGAAGGAAATAGCTAATAACACTCTTTCAAAGAGAAAACTAATTACACCCATTCCTGAATAAACCTTCTGGGACCATCCTATTTTCAACTCAGAACAGCCTTTCACATCTTTCTGGTTGCCATGGGCAGGTACCCCCACATCTGTAGGACCTATTAGACCTGTCTGCCCAGTGTTCTTAACAATTGGGTGGCATTCTTTGTTAGGCTGGCAAGTTACGTCTAAATTCTGGGTATGTCAGGGGCCAGACCAACAAGAATGCACAGGTTTGGTGGTGTGATCCATTCAAAACAACATGATTTTATGGACTACAACAGAGGTCAGCAAACTTTCTTTAAAGGACAAGATGGTAAATATTTTCAACTTTGCTAGCCACCCAGGTCTCTGTCGCACTTATTCAGCTCTGCCAGTGCATCTAGAAAACATAATGGACACAGCCGTGTCCCAATAAAACTTCGTGGACACTAACATTTGAATTTTGTGTAATTTTTATGT